AAAGAGCCACAGCTCTTTCTATTGGGATCAGAAAATCATAAGTAGCGGGACCAGCAGACGGCGTAATGGTTATGTCACTGGACTCCCACATAGTCTACTGCAGTTCAAGTCCTGGACCCGGTGACTTAAAACTCACGCCGGGCACTTCTGTGTGTGCACCCCAAACTCTGAGATGAGAATGTAGAATGGCCATCCCCCCAGGGATGATTTCTTTCTTTCTCTCTCTCTGTCTGTCTCTCCAGTGAGTATATGCACCCTATAGCAAAAGTCTCTCTCTCTTTCTGAGAGAGAGAGAGAAGTTATAGCTATTGCTAGCATGGAATAAGGAGGAGGGGAGGAGTTGTCAGCACACACCCCCCCCCCTTCTTTACCCTGACTTCTGAGGGAATGGGCTCCTCCACCCGTGCTTGGAATCCCAGACACACAGCAAAGACTCATTAAATGCCAGGATTGTGCCCACTGCAGAGAAGAATCCACAGTGGTACAGTCTGATTCAGGGGCTCACAGTGTTGTCCTGGGGCTCCCTGTCTTTTGATTCTGCTTCCTTGGGGTTATTCCAGCCTCAGGCAAGATCAGGGAGCAGCCTTTCATGGCTGCCAAGAAAAATCACTGTCCTATGCTGCGTGTTAAGTGTTCATCTTTGAGATGCCAGATAGGTCACTTTTTATGAGGAAAGGTGCCTAGGACGGTGCCATCTCATTCGACGGTTGGTTGATTTATACGGAGATTAGTTTGAGGTCCTGGCCAGCAATCAGACGTCACAAAGTAGGTAAGGAACCCTCACATTGAATATGGCAAGCAGCGTTTGTGACTTCAAGGGAGCAGAACCGAGCACAAACTCCCAACACATGTGGTTTCATTCAGCCTTTCAAGGGTACAGTCTTTGGAACTTTAAAACAAACGCTTTCACAGTCCAGGAAACTTCCTTCTTAGTAAACAGACTTAAATGTCACCTACGCTTTGTGGAAACAGACACACCAATATCCACTTTCTCTCGGTCGTCTGAACAAAGGCATGTTGTTAATGCCGTGCATTGTGGTCACCAGCTTCAACAGCTCAGATTCTGATGGGCTCATGGTTCTTGTGGCCTCTGGTCTCAATTTAATTGTACGAAAGGCAATCAGATGTACACATTTGATTCTGTGTATCCAAGCTCCATGGAGGAGAGAGATCCTGAGTGCTGTAGTCACCTGGCTTTCATTGGCTTCAGTGGGGGTCACCCCCAATTCTGAGCCAATCACTGCAGCCAGGGGCTGGATACGGGCGAATCACTGCAGCCAGGGGCTGGACACATGGCGAATCACTGCAGCCAGGGGCTGGATACGCGGCCAATCACTGCGGCCAGGGCCTAGATACATGGCTAATCACTGTAGCCAAGGGCTGGATACGCAGCCAATTGCTGCGGCCAGGAGCGGATACAGGGCGAATCACTGCGGCCGGAGGCTGGATATGCAGCCAAGCACTGTGGCTAGAGGTTGGATACATAGCCAATCACTGTGACCGGGGACAGGATACGCAAGTGTTTTTTTGTTTTGTTTTTTTTTTGTGTGTGTGTTTGTTTTTCCCCCAGGGCTATGATGGAGTGGGGCCCAGGATCTGCCTCTTCTTTTTTTTTTTTTTTTTGGAGAGATTTTCACTGTAGGGCGCATGCGCTCGCCAGACAGACAGAGAGAGACATAGAGACAGAAAGCGAGAAATCACCGCCCAGGGGGAATGGTCACGCCGCAATCCCTTCTCCTCCATTCTCCTCTCAGGATCTTGGGCACGCACGCACACGTGCCCGGCGTGAGTTTTAAGCCACCGGGTCCGGGACACGAACCGCGGTTGACTACATGGGAGTCCAGTGACATAGCCATTATGCTAACTGCTGGTTCCCAGGATCTGCCTCTTCTATGAGTGGGGATGGAGGGTGCCCAAGGCAAGGGTGCCTTCTAGGGCCACAGGCTGAGGTGTTGGTGACGGCTCAGCTAGGCACTAAGATCTAAAGAGGAGGTGGTGTGTGCACATGCCAGACAGTGGAAAGTGGGGTGCCAGGGCATCCTTGGCTCATTCCCTCGGAGGCCCCTGAGTTCCTGCCCTGGACCAGGTGCGTGGTACCGATGCTGGGGGTGGGGCGCACATCCGTGCAGCTCACAGCGGGAGAAGTGGAAGGGCAGAGTGCCATGATCCTCAAGATAGTGTCCCAGGGGCTGAAGCCCTGACCCTGTCATGAGCTGCCTTGGACTTTTCATTGCTGTGGGTTTGGGGTCAGATCCAACTTTGGCCGGTGAAATTCCATGTGTCTTTAATTCTTTATAGTCAAAAGCCCTGACTTGGACGACTCCTGTGCTCAATGCCTTCATGCTGTATGGCTTCAGGCTGGCCACTTTGTTTCTGGGAGCCTGTGTCCTCATCTGTAAAGTGAATCTGGCTATTTGAGACTTGATCTGTGCCTTCAAGATGAACCGATGTCTGCAGGACGGTTTCGCTTTGAGCCGGGTTCACAGGCATGTGACAAACGGGGCTGTGGTTCCATGCCGTCCTGAGATGCCCGAGCAAGGTTGTCTAACCCTGGGGTGGAGGTTAGAGAGGATGCCAGCGGCCATGTGAGGAGGATGTGATGCTGTGATCGGAAGCCCCATCCTCTTAGTTCTAACATCTGCTCCCCTGTGTCACCCTGCACCCCACCATGGGCTTTTGGAGGGCCTGCTGAAATGGAATGTCCTCCACCGGTTCTTTTCCTTCCTGGGTGTGCGTGAATCTTGCTTTAACACAGGTTTTGCTCCTACAGGTCTCAGGTGGGGCCTGGGAGTCTGCGTTTCTGTAGTAGTAAGTGAGGCCGCCTTTCAGCACCGCGGACAGCGCACAGTAGGGCCTCCAAGGCCACATGGTGACGTCTCCGCCTCCACGCACTGAGCATGCGCAGTCTCTCTGCGTGATGTCAGGCAGGCTCCTGCCTCTGCTCCACACAGGCCCAGCCAGAGCTCTGAAACAGGAATGGCGATTCTGTTTGCCCCTCTCCTGCACACACAGCTCCCCAGGACACCACACACATCTTCAGTGTCACATAGGCCCCTGTACTGCCTGGCAAGGTGTTTCTAAAGACCCAGGGAGCAGCCCTGCACACTAGCTCTCAGTGGCTACCGTCCAGGTCACCTCCATGCCCTTTCTCTGGGGCCCAAAAAGGTCTGGAGACACTGGCCTGTGCTCAGCCGAGACCTCCGTGTGGACCCCCTCGTCCAACACCCATCTCCCCCCCACTACTGAATTGTAACTTCCCCCACCCACGTCTCCCAGCAGACTCTGGCTTCTTGAGACTCTTTTTCGTTGGTCCCAGTGCCGACTCCAGGGCTCGTGACACAGAAGATGCTCTGGGAGTCGTCCGTTAGTTGGTTGGCTGGCTGGATGAGAGAGCAAAGGAATGAGGCATGAGTAAGGGCTAAAGGTTCTTTATAGCCCATAAAACACAGCATACGTGAGGCCAGCAGATGGCATAGCAGTTACGTCACTGGACTCTCACATGGCCGGTCATGGTTCAAGTCCCGGACATGGTGGCTTGGGAGTCATGTTGGGCACATGTACGTGTGTGCCCAAGACCCCAGGAGGAGAATGGAAGAGAACGGAGGAGGGATTGTAGCTTGGCCAGCCCTCTTGAGGGGTGATTTCTCACTTTCCCTCTCATTCTCTCCTTCCCTCCCTCTCTCTCTCTCTCTCTCTCTTTCTGTCTCTGTCTCTCTCTGGTGAGCACATGCACCCGAAGGCAGAGATATCATAAAAAAGTAAAAACGCAACATACGTGAGACCTATTAGTAGTAAAACTCCCTTGTGGGGTTCACATTTCCAGTGAAAAGACTTGCGTTGGCATCTGGCCCATGGGAGCTGTCACAAACGTGTTACTTGAGCTTTAGTTCCTGGGGTGCAGGTCCTACCCAACCCCAAGGGGAAGTGGCAGGGCACCTGCTCTACTCGCATTACAGATATGGCAAAGTAAGGCCAGAGCCTCCATGTGCCCGGTCCTCGCCATCATAGCTCATAGGAAGAGGAGCTGGGACTTGAACCTGGTGCTGAGATCCTGCTGTAAGGGAGCCACGGGCATTTTCTGGACTTGCAGCTGAACGAAGCCCTCGGCGTCCCCACTCTGCCATGGGAGGGGGAGGCGCTCTCGTAATTCCTATCGCCACTTCCCCTGGCCCCAGAGCTATGGAGCCCGCTTTGAGGTTCGTGTCAGCTGCTCAGGGTGATGGCCCAGGCCCTGCCGGAAGGACGTGACTGACCACAGCATCTTATGCAAAAAGGGCCTCCTCCCAGCCTCCCGGAACTGTTTTGCCTCATCCTCATCTGCCCCCAGGGCCTGCAGAAGTGAGATTGGCAGGTCTCCATGGTTCCGCTGGGCTTTCCTGCCTGGCCTCCTCTGGGTAGCCCCTGGGCCCC